TGTGTGTGTGTGTGTGTGTGTGTGTGTGTGTGTGTGTGTGTGTGTGTGTTTATATAAATATGCATTTATTTTACAGGAGATGATGGTTGGTGCTTTGATATTCAGGAATAAGTATGCCAGCCGACCATATCTGCCAGAAGAACTCATCCCTGCTGACCACAAGAAGGTATTCCTCCAAACCCCTCAGCTTTTATGCAAACTATGAGTTTAATGATGAGAATTTCTCTTTGGCAGCCCTTTTTCAGCCTTGAACTGGATGTTACTTGGCCTGAGTTTTCATCCTCTGAGGCTGAGCCCGGACCTGGAGGCAACATCACTGTCCGGTCAGAGGAGGGACGGGCCTTGTTGAACCTGTCGCCCTCTGGGGAAGAATTCTCTGTAGAATTCACATGTAGCTTAAGTCAGCCTCCAAACCAGCAACAAAATATTCAGAGTTTACACAAGGATGCTCAGGAAAAGGTAATATTAAATATTTGTGTGCTTACATCTCAGATTCAATGGGATAATTAACTTGTCTTCTCAGCCTGAACAGAGGTACCAGTCCACCACAGTGGTTCAGTGTCACTCCTGCGGTGCAGTCGCCCCCATGTGGAGCTACCCTCTGTCCTTGGTTCGACATCAATGGACGTCTCATTTCTCTAAATGCAAAGATGCAGAAGGAACCAGTAGTTCTGACCAGGCAGATAAGAAAAGGATCATATCTGACTTATCTCATAAGGAAAGAAAGGCCCGACTTCCTCAGGCTCTGCCTCTCACATGTTCCTCACCTCACTGGCACAGGTTTGTGGATTAATAATAAACACGTCAAGCACCACTAAATTAATTTCCTAAAACAACTTCTACCCTTTTCAGGTGGAAGTTTAAAGACCCTCTGGCCAAAGAAGAGGAATCAGACCTTCCAACAGGACTTGTAAAAATATTGTGGTGTCAAGGAGTCATCTACAGGTGCAAGTTTTTAAAAGTTACCAACGGCCTAATAAGAGTTTAATGTTTGCTACGAAAAAAATCACCAACGGTTGTTTACATCAGAGGTTGTACTTTGTCTTCTGCCTTCAACTGAATGTTAAATATATCCAAAAAGCACAGAAAAAAAGTCTTTAAAATAGTTTTAAATATTGTTTTTTTTTTCTTTTTAAATCAAAAATACGCATTTTGTTTAAAGGAGTATTTAATTTAAAATGGTACACATTTACAAAACCACTAGTCCTTAGTGAATATATTTTATTCTGTTCTTCCTGATTTTACTTTTAAGTGGCAGTGAGCATTCAAGGCTTCTTTAAGGACTGATCTTTATATATCGTAGTTATGTTTGTTGATTTATTGATTGCTCTATAGTGCTCACGTCTGAGCAGGAAGTTTAAGATGAAAAATGATCTAATATAATCGCTGTACAATATTTAACTACTAGTGAAAACAAAGCACATGTTTGCTTGCATGTCTCGTACAGTATAAACTGTTGAGCATGTTTGTGGAGGGTCGGGGACTGGGCTTGTTTTCAGCTTTAGAACTTGGTCCTCTTGCAGTAGTTGAGTCCACCAGGAGCTCAAATGAGTTTTTAGAATATTTTATAGTCAAATGAGGCCATATGATCGTCCAAAATGGGGCCCTGAAACGGGACAATGGTTCCAAGAACAGCAGTGAATCTGCAACAGAATGGCCCAAAATGAAAGAAGTAAGATGTTGCATTGTCCCGGTTATAGACCTGATCTCAGCCAGGTTATAAAACCGTGGTGGGATTTAAACAGAGGTGGGCATACACAGAAGCTTGCTAGCCTCAAAGAGGTTTGTTAAAAAGTGGGACAAAAATCACCTAACGATGTCAAGCAATGAGGTCATGGAGAAGAGGCACATTTTGCTGGTGAAGGAGCTTTGGTACATAAAACTAGAGTTTTATGAGTCTTTACCGACATCTCTGTGACCATTTTATATTTGCTGTGTAGAGTACTGAGTGGAGCGGTCCCAGTCATAGAGATTTTCCCAGGAGATGAGTCCGTTATCCGCTCTAACGGGGTCCTGAACTCTTATTTTACTCATCGCAAACCTAGACTCCAGGAACAAGAGGTAAAATTCAGTCTTTCGTCATAGACGCGTTGTAAAATCCAACTTTCTTGGATTACTCTCGTCTCTGTCTGTTTTACAGGTAAAGGACTTAACTTACCATTTAAACAGTCTTCCTCCTGATGTCCCTGGACAGGTGTACTCTTTGCGCTCTATTGTGAATCGTGCAAGTAGGTAAGATGTCACTTGATTACAATGTGATGAGTACAATGGGTGTATTTACAGGTATTTAAACATTTAGTATTTTTTGTTCCATTTTTTCAGAATCCTTAGTTGCTACAATCAGGCCACGCTGTCGCTGAAGCATCCTGCGACACCAAGCTGCGTGCAAGAGGTCTTCCCTGCTTCTACTGCTGGATTGGTTGATATCTACAGCATAATTTTATTCAAGCTTCATTCTTTGTTGTGATGTGATATTGTGTGTTTGCAGGACAAACACTGTTCTAATCCAGCAGTGCTTGAACAAAGCCCACCGAGTGCTGTGCTTATAGAGCAACACATGAATATACCACAGGCAGCAGATCGTCAGTAAGTTGTTTTTAATCACTTTATTTTAAACACCCATTACTCAAATAGCTATTAATTTCATCCATTTTCCTCTTCGACCTTAGCTCTGATTTTGTTGCTGCAGAACTGGAGAAGATAAAGAGATTCAACTGTATCTTTCAACACTTAAGACAATGATTCAAACTTCTCTGCAGTGTTGTGAAAGTGCAAATCATCCGTGTTTTTACTGTGAGAATTAGTGTATATCCTTTAACATGCCATGTCCAGTTCTGCTGGAAAACAGCCACCTGCTGAGAACAGAGAGCAAGCAGCGAAACTCAAAAGAAAGTTCTGCTGAGATCACCCCCGAGCCTGTAAATGAGGACCACGTCACTGAAGCTCTTCAGAGGACCTCTAAAGCCATTCAGGACATTGATGCTCTCATATCTGCTGCAACACTAATATGAATAAGAAATAATACATGCAGGGGATTTATTACAGTCTATTGTAGCTCTGCACCAATACGTGGACAGACTTTAAATTATAGAGATTCATGTATTTTAGGTTAAGTTTAATTTAAAAGTTAAATTAAGATTCAAGCAACGTTCATTTTGTGTTTGTTAGTTATTTATGGTTTTTTTTTTTTTTGTCAGCATCTTGAGCAGAAACAGAACATTTATTCAGTGAAAAGTTATATGATTTTTAAGTGGCATAAAAACCCTTTTTTTTCTGTGACATTTTGGATGTTTTTATTATGTTCTGGGTACCAACTGCAATTTAAACTTTAGGAAATAAAAAGGATATGAATGGGAGGTGGGTGTTAAAAATGTCAGGCCTCAAAATGTTTTTTTTTTTCTAATAAAGTGCCACATATAAAGTATCATTGGTAGTGTAAATCATAAACTGACGTCTTTTTCAATAAGACTTTTTATTATACTTCAGTACAGTTTGAAACTATCAGTTTGTATTAAAAGATGCAGGAACTTTGCAAACGTGATACTTTAATACCAAAAGGTGAAACATCTCGTTGCAATGTTAATCTTTCAGGAAGAAACATGAATGTAAGAAGTCAGGAAGCTGACAACAAATGTGCATTATTCAAAACCAGAGTAGCATAATGAGCCTAATCGCCTCGAGCACAGAGTAGGTCAAGCTGCTGCACTTCTTCATTGGACATTTTTTGATTTTCATGTGTGATCGCCATCTACTGGTGAAGCAGGGTAGTGAAGTCTTGTAATGCAGATTGAATTCAATATCTCCACATCCCCTCATTTGCACAAATAATGTTAAGTGTTGGCAGAGATCTGTTCACTGGTATGTTTAAAACTTTAACATTTTGCCACAAAATCCATCAAATATTTTGTTTTTCTCCCACCCTCTTATGTGTCCAGTTTGAACTTTTCTCCTTATAGCAACTGTTATTTGATCTCTAACTTGATCCAAGCATTTTCACTGACTTGAATTGTTTTTATGTTGATATTTCACAGATGGTTTTAGTAACGCAACTAAACTGCATTTTTTAAGATGTAGACAAATTAAGTGATATTCTGGACCTACTACATTGTAATTTTGTGCACAAATGTTGTGATTGGAATGTATGACGTTTAAATGTTGCATAGCTTAGGTAATACCAGACTAATGTGAACAGTTTACGTCTTAAATACACTTTAGTAATTTAGTATTTTTACCCCCAAATAAAGCAATGTTGCTGAGGTGAGCTGGAATGGGAAGCTCAGTCCTCACCTCCTTCTACAGGTGTGCAGTGGAGAGCATCCTGTGCTCCAGCATCAACGTGTGGCATGGAGGCTGCACTGCTGCAGAAAGAAAAGCTTTGCAGAGAGTGGTGAAGGCTGCACAGAAGTCTGTTGGAGTCGGCCTCCCCACCATCACAGACATTTACACATCTAGATGCAAGAAGAGGACCACCTGCTTCATGAAGGACCCCACTCATTCAGCACACACTGTTTTTGCCCCATTCTCTGTATTCCCATCTGTTCACAACAGACTCATGTTCAGGTTGCTGTTTAATACACCATATTATATTACATTATTATTGTTTAGCATACATCTTAAATCTTTGTATACAATTTCTCTTTTTATACTTTATATTTTTGGATGTAACTGGGACCTTGAATACACAATTTCATTCCACTTCATGTACCACATGTGATGCGAATGACAATAAAGAACCTTAAATATCTCTAAAGCATGTTTTATAATAAAGAGGGTATTAATGTTATGTAAAATAGACAAAAATATATTGTTTATAAACATTTAATCTCACTGTCTGTGTTCAGGGTTTTCTGTTTCAATAATGTTAACATACTCAGTAAAGTACATTGAACTGTTGTGTAATGCATGCACTGCATTATATTAAAATTAATCTACAATGTGAAGAAGTCAGTTTGTGTTTGAGTAGTCATTAAAATGGTAAGCACTAATAATAATTACGTTATTGTGAGTTTATTTTTGTGTTTTTACCAATAATTAAGCAAAGTGTGAGTTAATTTAACAAATGTATTTTTCATTTAGTTTTGTTTGAACCTACTATTTTAAATTTCATGTCGTACTGTGTTGAAATTCACCAGTTCTGCTGGTTTAAACAGCTCTGATCAACAGTCTCCAGGTCAGATTTGTGTTTTCTCCATTGCTCCATTGCTTTGATTTGTCAATATGAGCTGATCTCAGATCTGTAGTAAGCCCACCACAACTAGTTTGCGGGGCTCGGGTTGTCTGTATTCTCGCGAGACACCACGAAGTTTCCGGTGTTGTGTATGTTCCTGGAGACATGGCGGCCAGCTTCCGCGGCCGTCCTATCCGGAGTCTTCGGATGCGAGGTAAGCTTGAGCAAAATGAATTCAGTGACAGCTGTAACAGCGGTGTTCTGCAAAGCAGGTGTCCCGAGACGAGTGCTGAGCTCGGAGTGATGTGTCTGTGTGCGCGCTGCGTGTGTTTTTGACAGGTCGGAATGACAGCGGGGAGGAGAACGTACCGCTGGATCTGACCAGAGGTAAGCAGCGATTATTCAAAATGGATCAGGGCACTTTACTGCGAGCCCTAGCCCCAGTGATTGAAACGAAGCGCTGTGTGCAGATGTGTTTTGTTTGTAGTTTTCCTTTTGTTACTTTCCCTGTCTGTCTCGTGTAAATACTATAAAAGCATTACCAACGATTAACAGGCGCGCAGCTAGCTAACTAACGAGCTGAGTTAGCTGCCTCAGCTAGCCAGCCATGACGACGCGCTGTTGTTTTGGTGCCTGTGAGTGGGAAACAGAGCCTCTTATTTAGCCAGGGAGCTCGTGCATCGGTCATGGCCGGCTCCATGATGACAAACTGGGTCTGGTGAGCGGCACATATGGGCGGTTCTGATCCACAGCTGCTCAGCCGGGTCAGATTCACTGCACACCGGGTTTGTTTACACCGTCCTGAATAAACACATCCTGATGATGCTGCAGCAACCATGTCTGCAAGGACTGCTGAATGAATTCTGACCATTAGGCTAATTAATCGGTAATCTGTAATCGATTAGGACTTTAATCTGTGGAATATTATTAATGCTGTTTTATTAGAGACAATAAAAATAGGCGGTGTTACATATATAATAATGCAACTATTGTATTGAAGAGCACTTGTAGCCAATGATTCAGTTTGCATTTTGTGTTTCTGCTAAGGATTGTAACAACGTCAAATTAATGCAGAATATATTTGTTTTTCTCAATCAACCAAAACTAAACTAAAGCAATAATAAAACACAAAATATACAGATAAAAACAGGAGACTAATGCATACAAAAGGAGAAAACTTTTAACCAATTTATAACCTTCTGTGCATTAATGTTCACAGATTTGTCTTTGTGTGTCTTAAGAATATAAAAACTCTTGATAATTCATCCATCCATCCATTGTCTTTTTACCCGCTTCTTCCTTTTTGGGTCACGGGTCACTGGTGCTCATATCCAGCAGTCACTGTGCGAGTGGTGGGGGACACCCTAGACAGGTTGCAAGTCCATCACAGGGACACATAGAGACAACCATTCACTCTCTCACTCACACCTAGGGACAATTTAGAGTTAATCAGTCTAACATGCATGTTTTTGGTCTGTGAGAGGAAACTGGAGTACCTTGAGAAAACTTTTTTGAACATCCAGAGGACCTGACTTGACTTTTTTTTAGATTTTTCTAACTGGATTATTGAGCATGCATCAGGATATCTTGAGAAAACTCACGCATGCACGGAGAGAACATGCAAACTCCACCCCCAATGGCAGCGCAGCCAGGATTCGATCCGGCGACCTTCTTGCTGAGAGGCGGCAGCTCTACCAACTGCACCACCGTGCTGCCTTGATAAATCAGTTGTTTTTTTAATTGTAAACTTTAGGACCTCTAAGAAAACAAGATTGTTCAAATGTTGTAGTTTATTCTCCTGTATTTCTGTCTTTTAAAATCATTTTGCTCTAAACCTTTAAATCAAGGCAATAACACATTTACAAATGTGCAATAAAGAAAAGGTATGACAGAATCAGAGCATGCATTTATGACTGAACAGCCTTTACAGACGAACATGAATTTATAACATTCAAGCAGTCAGTAGTTTTGGACACCATCGGATTATGAGCTGCAAATTTAAGTTGCGAATTCAAAACAACACTTAATGTTTCTAATGTGTGCAAAGTTCTAGTAGTACTTGTCTAAAAATGCAAAAGTCAAACCATGTCTGTGCTCAAGAGTTAAAGATTCTCACCTGCACAAGAGACAAAAGCACACACTTTATCAAGTCCACTCCGAATGTATTTCATACAGTATTAAATGAGGGTTAATGATGAAGGATTGATGAGGCTCTAAGTCAAACAGATACATTGATGTAAAATATTTCTTACTAAAGGTTTAGTTTTAAATGTTTCATTGTGCTTTTTTATTCAAATGACAAAATCTAAATAACCAAAACAGTGTTTTTCTTATTTTTGCACAGTTTTACAAAATCAAAAACAATTAATTTACTGTTTGCAAAGTCCTTCAACCCGTAAAGCTGCTACCTGCAAACTCATTTTGTGCTATATATATTTAAAAAAAAAAACTTTAATTACTGAGGCATATTCTTATTGTTTGCAGCTTTTACTGCATCTTCTCTGCTGCCAGAGCTGCAACTGCTCCTTCATTGTCAAGGAGTACTCTGTTTTAAAACCGCTTTCTTTTTGTGAGTAACATTTAGAATTGTAGTCGGCACATGAGATTAGTAAGGAACTGAAAACAAAACACTTATCTGCTCCAGTCTTGTGTTTCACTCTCTAGGTCTTGTTTTGACTGTACACTAATTTAGTTCATGCCGCTGAGCCTACTTCCTTCCTGTAATGAATCAATTACAGGTCCTTACCTAAGATGATGGCGTGACTTGAGACCTTTCTTTAGTTACGCTGCATTTTCTTCACATGTTTCTGCAGAACCATCAGAAAACCTTCGTGAAATCCTCCAAAATGTGGCCAAACCTCATGGAGTCAGTAACATGCGAAAACTGGGCCACCTGAACAACTTCATCAAGGTAACTCTGTGCAGTTCCAGTCATCCCACTCCACATTTGTTTTGTCATTAACGTTGTCATCACTGAAATGTAGTGACAGCTATACATGAAGGTGGTTTCTGTTTGAACACCTTTAAAGAAACCATATAAACCAAGTTGGCTCTTGTTGTGAACATCTTCCGTACCTATAAACATCAGTCTTTTTTGTCTTTTTGAGTCTAATGCACTGTCAAACTCTGTCTATTAATTATTTTGAATTAGTGTAGGGTCTGATTGGCTGTTTCTTGATTATCTCTCCTTGGGTGTTGCTGCTAGCAGGTCTAGCTGTGCCTGTCATTGGGATGATGACAGTTAATGTAACTGGAGCTGTAGGCGTGGGAAAGCACTCCGGTTTAATGTGCATCACGAACACTCTCGAGTTGAAAACTAAGAGTATTTAATGTGTTGTACGTATCATGAACCAAAAACACTATGACTAAAAACCTGTATTCTCTCTTTGATGTCGATACTGAAAGTAAGTCTCAGGTCGAGAACACTGCTTTTAAGTAGGTCTGGAAGGATCTGGTGTCACAGCCCGGTGATAAACCTTTCCAGGGTGTTTTCTGTCTTCTATTCAAAACATACTGGAACATTTTAAAGGTTCCTTGGTGTAATAGGAGGGAATAACCGAGCGTGGGAGGAGAAAACTAGTAGTGTCTTGTGTTTTTAGTGACATTGTGCTTTTTTGACCAGCACCACTTCACTGAAAAATGTCTAAATTATTTACACAACTGTGCAATTTACAAACCCAGAGCTCGTTTATCTGCTACTGCTTAGAGATTTGCTGAATCTCTACTAACTCCAGACCTTTCACTGCTTCTGTCTGTCTGCCGCAGATGTAAACAATTGTTTGTGGCTCTGCACAGTGAGAGCTGTGTAGCTGGTTGGAGCAGACTGAAGGCTAAGTGTGAGCCTGGTTTGTGTGACTGCAGTCTGTCCGCCTCGTGTTTACAACCCACTCAAGGCTAATAGTCATCATGACATATGTACATCTGTTACAGCCCTATCGCTTTGATTCCTTTTAAGGGTTCCAAGACAGCGAGGGTGACCTAATCCCATGTGGAGAGCGTCACATGCCCCTCACTCCCATCTCTTCTCCCCACGTGCTCAGGCTCTGATATCGCAACTAGTTTCAAACAACCCAATATCCACCCAGGCCCTTGTTGCTGTCCATCCTGCTCAGCTATATGGTACTTTGAGAGATAATTCATACAAAACTAATAGATGAATTCCTTGGCATCAGGATCAGCATCCATAATCTGAGCTGCTGTGTAGGAATAGCACCGACTTGTTGCTTGTTAGCCTTTGCCTGGAGATATATGAAGGAGTGAGAGGTGTTTCTTTGCTTCAAAATTGTCATTGTTTTGCTCATACAGTGTGCTTCAGACCATGTTGTTTGTAGATGAGACTTAGCTGATGCTCAGGTCTGTGTGGGTTCCTGCTAAAGACGGGGGACTTGTTGTGATGGAACCTCTGAAGGTAGAAATTCACACTGAAAGGAGAAAAACACTGTGAGGCCTTGCAGGGGAGAATATGAGCAGCTGGTTTGCAACCAGAGGAATTGAAAACATTTGTTTAAAATATTAAAGACATTCTGTCATCAGTCTGTTTTTATGTGTCCAAAACAAATGTCGGTGTGAAGCAGACGTACTGATAAAAAAAAAACACAATGTTTGGAGCCACACTCACTCCTGAACCTGTGAATGTGTCGCTACTTTCACTTTCAAAATACAGCGTCCATCTACTTCACTGATGTTACTGTATTTTCCAGCGTATAAGTCGCCTTTTTTTGGTTGTTGCATAGATTAGCATGCCCTGTGACTTATACAGCAAAGTGGTGTATTTATGTGTTTTTCCCATATTTATAACTAGGGATGCACGATATTGGATTTTTGGCCGATATGTTAAAACTTATTCGGCCAATAACCAATATTTTATATACGTTCCTTTGTCTGAACATAGCCCTCTTATTTAGGCTTATTTGCTACAAAAATCGTGCAACAGCTGTAAGAGCTGGTGACATATATTCACTAACAGATATATGCATAGCACTTTAACTTATATTAAATGAAAAATGTTAAATGTTGTTTATTAACATTAGTCACCTGCGATGCTGTCTCACTTGTGGAGGCTTGTTCCTGGTTCGTAGTTGCAGTGCAGGATCCTCTGCACTCTTGTGCATGAAGGACAGCTTAAGTTCAAAGTTTTTGTCTATCCATTGTTCCGTAAGATTAAACATGCTAACGAGGCTAACACGACGTCCAAATGTCTGTGGTAAAACTCACCCAACAAGCCGTGCTATCGGCTATTAGCTTTTCAATGACGTTGAATATGACGGCTTGTAACTCGGGTAACGTTCTGTCGGAAAAATATCTCCGACTGGGGACGATGTAGCGAATCTCAACGTAGTCCATAAATCTTCAGAATCCGACATCTTCACCAACGAAAAATAAAACTTCCACACGCCAACATTTTGAATTTTCCTCTCCGCCGTGAGATGGGGTAGGCGCACGTGACGTCGTTGCGCTGCCGCTGTAACGTCATCATGGTGTGCTGCCGCTGCAGTCAAAAACAGCGCCTTTTATATTGGTGAGTTATTTTGGCCTATGAATTGAAATTTAACACTAATATCGGCCGATAATATTGTGCATCCCTATTTATAACCCAATTTTTGGCTGAGATCTGATGATTTCATTCTTTCAGACACAGAAATTTTGAACACTACTATTTTCAGCCACTAGTGGGCAGTCGACCAATGTGGCAAGCCAAGTGTCATTAATAGGTAAAAGTGGCTATTAATGAGACACTTGGCTTGCCAAAGTAAGCCACCTTCATCATGCTCCAGAACTCCTGGAGCAAACGTCAAATCAGCTGCATTTCGCCTGGGCGGCATGGCGAAATGCAGATGATTTGACCATTAAAGTGCATTTATTAAGGAAAAATTCAACTGAGACGCACCTTTACTATAATTTTAAGCAAACAAATAATTGTTTTTAAGTATTAATCTTGTTAAAGTCCTCCCGTGTATGCTCCCACGGCCATCATTTGGCAGCCATTTGATTTTTGGCATAACACCGGCTTACATTTCCAGGTTGTCAGTGGTGACGCGTAATAGATGCAACTTATACAGCGAAGCAACATTTTTATGTTTTTTTCCCTCTTTATTACACATATTTGGACTGATACGACATACGGTGGAAAGTACGGTATCCCTTTTCTGTTCACCTTCTCCTACCAAGTGATCGTAGAACAGACACTGCATGGCTTTGGCAGGCATGTGTCTCCATAAACAGTTATTTATTTTTAATCTGTATTTTAATGCTGTACAAAATTTGTCGAAGAAGGTACCAGTAATAATAAATAAAAAACTAAAGTTCTAGAAAGTTGTGAGATGGTTTTTGTGAAAGTTTTTAGCAAATATTGATTGTCGTGTAACAAACGGTGTTCTTGTTCTCGACAGTCAACAAGACCTTTACCGGCACGCATGCATAAATAGTCACAACCTGCTCAGAAGTCTTCTAATATAATTATTGCTGCCTTGTGTTAATTGTAACATGCACCTCCTCTTCCTGAAACCACTGTGCAGCCTTGTTCATTTTTAATTAGGTATTGGAACCAAGTCTGAGGTTTTATTTTTTTAAAGACATTTTTAGGCAGGAAATAATTTACTGAGCAACTGTTTATATATAATTTGTATTGTAGTCTTGGTTGATAAGCAAATAATGGATTTTGTCTTTTTATTGTTACAGCTGCTTTGCAGCATTGGACACCGTGAAGAAAACTTTGGGTTTACATATGAAGAAATCATCATTTGGTAACTAATCTTTTCAATATCTGCTCTGGAAATATTCTTTTTTGTCCTGTAGCAAAAGGAAACAACATGCAACGTCTAGGCCTGAGACTTATATTTGTCATATTGTTTGTGCTGCTTTTCTGTCCAAGTACTTTAAGAATATTTCTTCAATCTCCAGTTTGCGATTAGCTCTGTTAAATGAGGCTAAGGAAGTGCGAGCTGCAGGTTTGCGGGCGCTCCGCTACCTGATCAGAGACACCAACGTCCTGCGGAAGGTCCTCAAACTGCAGGTGGATTATCTGATAGCAAGGTAAGATTCTGAGATTGAGACGTGGTGTTAGATGACTTCATGCTGTGGTGTTTTTCTTTTTAAGGAAGGTCCGTTTATTAAAAATGTTCTAGTTGATATGAAGTGCATTGTTTGTGTTTTCTACAGCGGGTTTGTTCAGCTATTAATAACATCTGGATGTGTTTACTAGAAAGATACAACGATTGTCTTTGGGTTGTTTCAGATGCATCGACATCCAGCAAAGTAATGAGGGGGAGAGAACTCAGGCTTTGAGACTGGTCCGAAAGGTAAGATATATCAGTATATTTTTTCTGTTCTTTTGTACTATTTGTAGAGTTGATAGGAAATATTACCCTCACTGCACAGCCTGATGCCAGAACAGTGCGATCAGAACAGCTCTTTGGGTCAGCAGCAGTGTCAGCGAGGATAGTTTAAAGAGTTCGCAGGCAAGGTTATTTATAGCTCATTCTGTAGTTTACTGTAAACCATCTACACACATACAGTGCACTGTGATTTAGAGCATGGTCTATTGGCTACACAGGCAGTAACATGACCCCTCTCTTCATGCTAAAACAGAATTTTTGAGACTTCTTAGTTTTCTTAATTTGCAGGGTTTAGACTTGTGTTTAAACAGATTACATGCCGTTCATAACCTGGAATTTTTGCCTCAACGTTTGCTCGACAGCAAGGCCTGTGATGTGCTGTTTGTGTCCTCGAGGAGTCGCCAGGTTCCTCTGTGATTGTGGTTCTCTGAGTGTGCAAACTGATTGATTTTTGATTAGACTATTAATTGCATTACAGTAGTCCCTCATTTATCATGGGGGTTATGTGTGTCCCCCCCCCCCCCCCCCGTGATAAGTGAAAAACTTCAAAGTAGGAACGCTGTATTTATTTTTGTATTTCTTTATATTTTAAGGCTTTACAAATAGGCCTGTCACAATAAATCAATTACTCACATGATAAATGACAATTATCAACTTGATTTTCATTTATCGGCTTTATTGTTTCTTTGTGTCTCTTTCTACTGAAGACACTGGATGACAAAAAGCTCAACTCTGGTGCTCTTCACTGACCCCTGCCTTTCTCTTTAAAATCCATTTTAAACATACAAAACCACGTTTTTGGATCATTAAGCAGCTAAGTTATGAAGCTAAGCTACAAGCTAAGCTAACAGGCCGATCTCGGGGAAAAAAACTCTGTCTTGTCGAAGCTCCAAAATTCATGGTTGAAACCCGTGCCTTCGTGTAAAAAGTTGTTTTTCTCTGCAAAAAGAAGCTGAGAACTTGTTTACTGATTTTTTTAAATTAAAAGCTTTGTGTGAAAAATGCTATGCTAAAGAGCTCAAACCACACAGAGCGTCTGCCATTTTGAGAACCGAAATGAGACAGCCCATGTCACGTCAAAGGTCTCCCTCCCAATTTCTTAGAGACAAGCTGCTCGCTCCCTTACTTGGGGTGGCTGTGGCAGAGTGGTTAGAGCAGTTGTCCTCCGATGCAAGAATTGGGGGTTCGAATCCACCAGCAGTCACATGTCGAAGTGTCCCCGGGCAAGACACTGAATCTGTCGTCTCTCCCCCACCCCTGCTCTAAAACTGTAATACTGTCGGTGCATTACCCCCCAACCCACCACTGACAAAAATCACGGACAGCATGAGCGCCCCGCCATGACATGTTATCTGGGGGAAACACCGGCTAGCATAGATTGCGTTGCATAACAATCCCTCTATTTCGGCAGAAAACATTGGCCAGAAGCACTGTTTGCTTCTGGGTAGTGTAGTTCATTGACTGGTGTTATAGTCTAGGCTAATTGAAAGAAAACTACAAAATGGTGACATCTGTCTGAAGTACTGTGTTTTTTCATTAACTTTTTATCTCGTATCATCCCAATCAGGTGAGTACTACTAAAGTTGACAATCGTTAAAAAACCACGAAAGAGCCAGTCCGCAAAAGTCGAACCGTGCAAAAGTTGAACCGTGAATTAGCAAGGGACTAGTGTATCGGCATTTGTTGGACTGGACTGTAAAACTTAAATGGTAAATAGCACCTTTCTATCTTATCAAGACACTCAAATTGCTTTACAACACAATCTGTGTCCTCATTTACCAATTCATACAGCATTCTACTACAAACCGGATTCCAAAAAAGTTGGGACACTAAACAAATTGTGAATAAAAACTGAATGCAATGATGTAGATGGCAAATGTCAATATTTTATTCGTAATATAACATAGATGACGGATCAAAAGTTTAATCTGAGTAAATGTAACATTTTAAAGGAAAAATATATTGATTCAAAATTTCACAGTGTCAACAAATCCCAAAAAAGTTAGGACAAGTAGCAATACGTGGCTGGAAAAAAAAATTGAGCATAAAACAAACAGCTGGAAGACCAATTAACACTAATTAGGTCAATTGACAACATGATTGGGTATAAAAAGAGCTTCTCAGAGTGTCAGTGTCTCTCAGAAGCCAAGATGGTAAGAGAATCACCAATTCTACCATTGTTGCGCAGAAAGATAGTGCAGCAATACCAGAATGATGTTACCCAGCGTAAAATAGCAAAGACTTTTAAGTTATCATTATCAACCGTGCATAACATCATCAAAAGATTCAGAGAATCTGGAACAATCTCTGTGCGTAAGGGTCAAGGCCGTAAAACTCTCCTGGATGCTCGTGATTTCCAGGTCCTTAAACGTCACTGCACCTCAAACAGGAATGCCACTTTCAAGGAAATAACAGAATGGGCTCAGGAATACTTCCAGAAAGCATTGTCAGTGAACACAATCCACCGTGCCATCCACCGTTGCCAGCTGAAACTCTACAGTGCAAAGAGGAAGCCATTTCTAAGCTCCACAAGCTCAGACGTTTGCACTGGGCCAGGGGTCATTTAAAATGGAGTGTGGCAAAATGGAAGACTGTTCTGTGGTCAGATGAGTCATGATTTGAAGTTCTTTATGGAACACTGGGACGCCATGTCATCCGGACCAGAGAGGACAAGGATAGCCCAAGTTGTTATCAACGCTCCGTTCAGAAGCCTGCATCACTGATGGTATGGGGTTGCATGAGCGCTTGTAGCATGGGCAGCTTGCATGTCTGGAAATGCAGAGAACTATGTTCAGGTTCTAGAACAACATACGCTCCCATCTAGACGTCATCTCTTTCAGGGAAGACCCTGCATTTTTCAACACGATAATGCCAGACCACATTCTGCAGCAATCACAACATCATGGCTACGTAGGAGAAGGATCCGGGTACTGAAATGGCCAGCCTGCAGTCCAGATCTTTCACCTATAGAGAACATTTGGAGCATCATAAAGAGGAAGGTGCGACAAAGAAGGCCCAAGACGATTGAACAGTTAGAGGCCTGTATTAGACATGAATAGGAGAGCATTCCTATTTCTAAACTTGAGAAACTGGTCTCCTCTGTCCCCAGACGTCTGTTGAGTGTTGTAAGAAGAAGGGGGGATGCCACACAGTGGTAAAAATGGACTTGTCCCAACTTTTTGGGGATTTGTTGATGCCATGAAATTTGGAAACAACAGATTTTTCCCTTAAAATGAGACATTCTCTCAGTTTAAACTTTTGATCTGTGATTTGTGTTCTATTCTGAATAAAATATTAGATGTTGGCACCACCACATCATTGCATTCAGTTTTTATTCACAATTTGTTTAGTGTCCCAACTTTTTTGGAATCCGGTTTGTAGATCTCTACAAAGTTATTTGAACAAATCATACTAAAGAGATTAGTCAGAGCTTTATCACATTCATACATTGATGGGACACACATCGGATGCAATGAGGGGTTCAGTGTCTTGCTCAGGGACACTTCGGCATCTGACTGCTGGTGGATTTGAACCCTCCAACTCTTGCATTGGAGGACGACTGCTCTAACCACTCAGCCGCAGCCATTCTAAGGTTGCTAAATAAAGGCTGTAGCCTAACTGGCCAAAAGTTGTATAAACGTGAGCTCATCAACAAGCTTCCAGTTCTTTAGAACACAGAAACCTAAATGGTTCAGTGGTCCTTGTTGTAGCTGGACGCTCTGACAAATACTGAAATGTTTTAAAGTGAAAAATGTGCATTCCAGTTGCATTTATCCAGCACTGCCTGACTGTTTTTACCCTTTTATCACTTAAAGAGCAGATAACCTGTACTTCGTTTTTCCATGCATTGCATCTGCATTTTTGTTTAGCTTAAAAAAAAATAGAATTGTGTTAAATGTCATGTATTGTTCTTTGTCTGAGGTTGCATTTGATTAACTTGGAGTCCTGGGAAGAACAAAATAATAAGGAGCTGAAAGTGCTTACTCTGTCAATATAAACCTGAGGTTTTATTATTGTTAAATTATTATTAATTAAAAGTTAAAAATACAAGTTTTTGCTTTGCTTGGCTTCTTCAGACCTGTTTAGGGCTTTTCTTTTGTTTCTCCTCTGTAGATAATCACTGTCAATGCAACACTGTTCCCCACCGCTGTTGCAAATTCTCTTATTGCTGTGGGAACAGATGGGCTGCAGGAGAGAGACCGCATGGTTCGAGCTTCCATCGCCATCGTATGTGAGCTAGGTGAGTACTACTACGGCACCAACACTGATGTAAAGATCATTAACTCTGTACATTTACACCATGAGAAACCAATTTGAGCCCATGACTGGGATTTGAATGGACTAATTACATCTAAGTAATAAATATTCCTTATGACCTTCTTGAGGTCGTAACATTGAAATCTACTTTGTAATCCTCTATAATATCTACAGTAAAAATTATTCTCTAAAGACGGCACCGAACCACAGAGCTTTCTTTGTCTGATTCACTGGGAATCTATAAATAATACCCTTCAGGTTGTTGGACAGTGTTTGTACAAATATAACCCAACCAAAAAAAGAGTTGCAGTAGGCAACAGATTATGTTATTAATAATGATATATATTTTTTATTTTAATTATTTTCTGCACACATAAAAACTGCACTTAGTCCTTGGACATGTTTTAGCTACACGATGTAAAATGTAAACGTAGTTGAAGCAGTGTCCACTTAAGGGTGAGAGAAAACTCAGATTTTTTTTTTTTGATCTGTTAAGTTTTTTTTTTCTCCCATTGTTTCATTCATTATGATTAACCTGCCTAAATAAAGGTTGAATATTGTCACTACTTGCATGGGGTCGGGGTGTGGGGTCATATTTTTGGTTTTTCAATTGGCCAATAAAATAGCTGACTCTGGTCATGAGCCAAGTGCAAGTCAGTGCACTCTTTCTACTTTAAGGATGTGTACGTATGACATTTCAAAATCTTTTTGTTCTTTCTCAACCTTAATATTAAATGAAGAGTCAGGCGGAGAACAACACATGGGATTATTTAACTTAATAAATTAAGACAAAATGCAGCCAAGCATCGGCTGTCGGACAGATGGCCTCACATTTGACTCTGGAATATTCTGGTAAACACAAGTTCATTATCAACTCAGTGACTCCAGGCTGCTCAAATACAAGGTGCTGCTGAAACCATTTGTGAGCAATGTCTCTTAGTAAAGACAATGCACTTTTATATTTGTGTTAAATGCTGCTAAGACGTCAGATCAAAATAATGTACTTAAAAATTAAGTGGTGGCAGCAACAATGGTTGAACACTTTTTGTATTAAAGTACAACTTGAAGAAATGTCTAAGGATCTTCTATTGAATAGCACGATCACTTAAACAGGTCTTCAGTTTCTCTGCCTTTAGGTAAAGAGATCAAACGAGCTGCCTTTTGGACCTTAATAACTGTATCTATCAAACGTGAAAACTATAATATCTAGCAAACTGTCACAAAAACAAGTAGCAATAAAAATTCAAGGATTCAATGATTTTTTTTATTGTCATACCAGTTCACATTTGCATGTGTATGGTACGAAATTTGGACTCAGGTCCCAGATCAAGAAGCCTAACAATGAATGAAAAGATCTTCTGAGAGTAATGCAGTGACTCCATCACTTTATTAAATCTAATCCTTTAATACCCGTCATCTGAAATGAGATGGAAACGACACCAAATTCCTACCTTTCATCAACTCTTTGTCACCAATAACCCCAGATTATTTTGATTTGTGTCATTTGCTCTGCAGCACTGAAAAACCCAGAGGTGGTGGCCAAACGAGGAGGTCTCGGCACAATTCTAAAGAGCGTGCTCGACTGTCAACTCAGCCGCATCAACGAAGCTCTGATCACCACCGTCCTCCATCTACTCAACCACCCGTGTACCCGCCAGTATGTACGTGTAGACGTCGAGCTGGAGGTATGAACTCTGAGGGTTCTGTTGTATATAAATGAACCCGAGTACAGAGAGTGCTTTCATTCAGGATTGCGCCTCAGGTTGCCCGCATCTCTCTGAGCTGACAGTAATCAGCTGCAGCACCTCTCTTAATGCCTCGTTGTCTGTAAACATCTACTTGACACAAAACCGCTCATCACCAGTCATAACATTCACACGCATGTCACATGAAATCAGAGATTCATTCTCGCTGTAATATATTAGTTCATAGATTTAAATAAACATTAAAGAGTTTATGAAATCTCCAAGTAGGTTGTGTCTTGTGTTTAGCGTTTTTTGTGCTTTGTGCTCTGTCCTGCAGCAAATCCTCGCGCCTTTCACTGATTTTCACTATCGTCACAATGCAGACACGGCTGAAGGGCAGCTCAAGTAAGTGTGTGTGTGTTTGGGCAAGGTTTGAAGAGTTGGTGTGATGGAAAAAACAACAAAAAACCTCAGTGTCTGACTGGTGACAGCACATGTTCTGTGGGTTTGTACACCGTTTGTGTAATGTGGACCTTGTTATCAGTGCGGTTTGGTTCTGGAGCGACTTGTCAGACAATATGAAGCAGACTGAGATACGAAGCTGCTGAATTTCAGATTTACTTTTATTTAAACAATTGTTATTTCCTTTAGTTTGCCTGTAGTTTGTTCAAGTAAAAAAACTTGATAATTTCTGAAAAATCCCTCGAATGATATTTGTGTGTTTGTGTGTGATAAGTAGTGCAGTTTTTATCGTGCATGTTTTGTTTTCACAGAGAAGACAGAGAAGCCCGTTTCTTGTCCAGTAGAATGGCGATAGTTGCTGCCTTCCGTTCCTGGTCTGGTAAGTGATGTAATTCTTAAAAAAGGCGGGTGATAGTGTAACTACCTGTGTGTGTGTGTGTGTTTAGAGACAAAATAATACACGTATGAGTTAATTAAACATAACAAACTCAAAAATGGCTATTACTTTGTCAGTTTTTACTATTTTGGAGCTAAAATCTGTTCTAGTCAGAGCATCTTCTCCAACGCATACTCCGAGCGCCAAAAACTTTTGCATGCCAGGCGTCCAGCAATATTCATTTCTTCAAGGAATGCTAGTTCTAAAGATAATTTGTATTTGTTGAAGCATCATGAGGTTATTCTCTCTCTTATGCAACGTCTTTGTTTTTATTAGGCATCATCAACCTGTGCAAGCCTGGAAACTCTGGAATCCAGTCTTTAATTGGCTTGCTCTGCATCCCAAACATGGAAGTTAGAGTGAGTATTAAAACGACTAAACCGTATGAATAAAACATATGTAGGAGTAATTTTAAAGTGTCACTGAAAACCTGAACATTAAAATCAATTTAATTCATCACCACTAAGCAGGTTTTCATTAGTGTTGCAGTGTGATTGTGTCAGAGTTGAAGCACAGGGTGAGATGCAGTCATCCTGTCACTGATCAGCTTCAAAGGTCCAGCACAGATCTGCTGGTGGAGGTGGTCTCCCTCTTCTCTTGGTTGTATCAAACATGTCATTGCGTTGATGTGTTTCTCTCTGCAGAAAGGCTTGTTGGAAGTGTTATATGAGATCTTCAGGCTTCCTGTTCCAGTTGTAACCCAAGACTTTGTAGAAGCTCTTCAAAGTGTCGGTAAGGACCGACTTTTATGTCATCTGAAGCTATTTGTGTATTTGCTTTGAGTATCTTTGTGCCTAGTATATTGAGTTTCATTTTAGTAAGAATATGTACATACAATTTAGTCACTTTTGTGTATTTTGTACTCGAGTGTCTTTGCTCATCTCAGAGCCTAATTAAGGCCATGTGTTATACACACACACACCCCATAAAGGCTAATCTTAGCTGTGGTCCACTTCAGATCCCTCCAGGTTTCAGGACACCTGGAGACTGTCTGATGGGTTTATTGCTGCTGAAGCTAAAGTCATCCTACCCCACCGGGCCCGCTCCAGGTGAGAAATGAGACCGAACAAGAAGTAGGCTGTTGTTGCTTCAGTGGTTACATGACAAATTAAATATTTGTGTTTCTGTTTGCTTCGTTAGGCCTGACCTGATGGACAACTACCTGGCATTTGTGCTCTCTGCCTTCATCACCAGTGGGCTGTTGGAGGTGAGTTAAATGGTTTATTTTACTTTTAGAGCTGATGACCTGTTTACAGAGCCGTAAAGCTAAACTGGAAGTAGCTGAGAAACGCTATGGCTTGAATGGTTTCGTACTGTGGCAGCATTGGGAGAGCAGCTTTAGGGTGGTGGTGCATCTATTGAAGCATGTCTTCCTCTCCTCTGTAAGGGTCTTGTTGAAGTTGTGACCAGCAGTGAAGACCAGCTTGCTGTCAGAGCCACTATACTCTTAGGGGAGCTTCTACACATGGTAATATACAATCAATGAATATGAAGTTCGTACCAAACAAGAAAAGGTTGATAAATGTTAATTACTGTATTTTTTGACTAGATTTGTTCTTTTTTTTGTGTGTGTGTTTAGGCGAACACGATTCTTCCTCATTCCCATAGCCACCACCTGCACTGCCTCCCCACCCTCATCAACATGGCAGCCTCATTTGACATCCCCCAAGAGAAACGACTGTGAGTACAATCAGTTTTTCCTCAGTAAATAGGAAAGTGATAATTACTACAAAACGGATGGATTTAGGTCCAGAAATATTTAGACACAAAACATAAAATTAGCACTTTTATTTTTATCAATAGCACGTTAATTAGAATTTGATAGTTAATTAAAAACAATGTGCTTGTTTTTCACAAAATGATGTTTTTAAGATTGTAGAACAGGATTACAGGATTTTTCCTGTCTGCTTTTCTTTGTTGCAGCAGATTTTATGAAAGGTTATGTCACTTTGTGCCGCTCCCTCTTTCTGTCTTGCAGGGTGCATGTTTTAGAAATTATAAACTGAGCGTCAGTTCTTTATGTTTGGAGAGCTAAATGTTTGCTCTCAATATTTTATGGGTTAATTTTAAACCACTTCAGTTGTTTTTTGTTATCTTGTATTGTGTTAATAATGTATCCTTTGACTTAATGAAAATGTAAGTTTTACTTTCCTTGAAATATATTTAGGACTGACAGACCATGTCTGATTTTCTAATCACTAGACAGAATACTGATAAAGCTTTATTGGCAAGATAAATAAGATAACTTCTAGTGTTTTTTTTTTTTTGCTGTTAATAGCAAAGGCAAGAGCAAAATAGGTTTAAACTTCTCACTTAAACTTTAATTGATTGAACGCAGGGGGCTTTGAAGTTTAGGTTGGGTGAAGATGAAGATTAGGAAGCTGGTTTTAATCTTTTATAAACTGCAAATAAGATTCTCTGACAGAATAAGATGTTTTGAAGCTCAGAAAGCTCAAAAACAAAGTTACATACTCTTGGATGAGGGGCGAAACGTTTCTTTTTAACAAAAAAACGAAGTCCAGATGACATGATTCAACCTTTTTTGTTGTTATATACCTGGATGACTGAGAAAACAAACGTTGTGTTTTTGAAACCATTAGTGAAAAGGCCAGACTTCAGGGGTATCTGAGGCAGGCTTGGAACACAAGAGTCAGGGTGGCTTCTGGGTAATACCAGATGGCTAGGCCTCAGACCGACGAAGCCTCTTGGATGAGGGGCGAAACGTTTCTTTTTAACAAAAAAACGAAGTCCAGATGACATGATTCAACTAGGGGTGCACCGATTTCAATTTTCAGGCCGATCACCGATCACCGATTTTTTGAAAGTCTGAACTGCCGATTCCGATTTTGGCCGATACCGATTTTTTTTTATAAGCAACAGTGTCAGGTGTTACAAGATCACAATGCACCTTCAATTTACCAATCTTATTTTATTGTAAAACATACCCTTGAAAAATACCCTAGAAACAATACAAACTTGTTGTTTTAACTTGTCATGAGGTAGTATTCTGAAATATAAATGAAGTTTACACAATTTTTGTTAAAACTATAAAATTAACTAAAAAAAAATGTTCAGTTCCTTCAACTCTTTCACTTGTTACATTTAAAAAAAAAAAAAGATAATGCAACAAGTGTAACATTTTCAAGTCAGTGGGTAATAAGAACTAACACTGGTAAGTTAGTTCTCACAGACTTATTCCAGTCACTTTCATTAGTGGCAGGTTTTTCTTGATGAACAAAAGCATTTCTGCTTTGTCACCAGACAGGTGACTTCTTTTCTCATCTACTACATGTCCAGCCAAGCTAAACAGGCGCTCGCTTTCAACGCTTGTGCATGGGGCAGAGAGATAGGTTCGGGCAAGTAGAGCAAGATGAGGGAAACGATTTTCATTGATCTTCCAGTAGACCAATGGGTCCTGGCTCCTTTCAACAGGAACCTCAGATAGGTAGTTCTGTACCTGCATAGCTGAAGGGCTGGCCAGCTGTTGCTCCTGTTCAATGTTCTCCTTTAAGATTTCGTCGTGAGCTGCAAACAGTAGACTACGCCTTTTGGCTGCAGGTTCATCTATAGCAGGAGGTCCCACTTCAGAGGATGTTCCTGCAGCAGGTGTGCATCTGGTCTCCCCCTCTGCAAGTTTGGTCAAAAGGAGCAGTTTCACGTCATCTTTCACCTCTGCTGAGAAGTAGCGATTCTTGTACCTTGTTTTGCATAAACAAAGAAAGATGGGTCAATCATTGTGTTTTGTATACATTAACAGTTTTTATGACTTGCATGTAAATAAAGAAATGCATTTCAATCAATAAATTTTTATTTTTAATTTAATTTAAATGTTTGTTGAAATATAGCAGTAGGCTAAAAGTCATTATGGCTAAAATAGAATGTTAATAGTTACTTGCCTTGGATCCAGAACAGTGGCCAAGCTGTACAGGGGCTCATGCTCAATGTTGCTGAATCTTCTCACAACAGCCTCCAGCAGCGTAGCTTTGGCTGTACCCACGCCACGGTCTGTGCTCGCTTGCCTCTCCAAAATCCGCTTGAGTGCAGTGATGGCTGGGATGACATCTGCTGCTGTAGCTGTTGATGAGCTAATCTCCTTTGTGAGTTCCTCAAAAGGTGCAAGAATGGTGAGCACATTGTCCAGTAGCTCCCACTGGTGTGCTGTGAGTGTGGCTGGTAACTCGTGCTCAGCAGCATACACGCCAATAGCACGTCTCTGCTCCAACAGCGACTGCAGCATGTAGACTGTGCTGTTCCACCTCGTTGAAACGTCTTGCTGTAATCGTTTCCTGGGTTGACCTAACTGTGTCTGTATGTCATAAAGTCGGGAATAGGCAAGTGATGAATGCTTAAAATGTCCAACAATTCTCCTTCCTGTTGCCACCATGTCTGTGATGCTGCGCTGCGCCAGCTGTCCCTCATTTACAACCAGTTGCAGTGTGTGTGCCAGGCAGGGTAAACTTTTCAGGTTGATATCATCCAGCGCTTTGGCCATATTACGAGCATTATCCCGTAAAACAACGTGAACTCTTCCATGATCGATTTCCCAGTGATTCAGCATCGCCTTAAACTCTGCTGATAAATTGGCCGCAGTGTGAGACCCTGCCATTTCTTTACAGTTTAAGAGTAATTGATGACGTTCGAACTGTTCGTCAATCCACTGTGCAGTAAAACTTAACATGGACATTAAACTTACATCAGAAGTCCAGATGTCTGTTGTAAAGCTGAGTGTATTTGTATTAGCTTTTAGCAGGCTGCGGGTGTCTCTCGAAACTTGGCTGAACAACTCCGGTAATGCAACATCAGAAAAATATTTCCGACTCGGCATATTATATCGTGGGCACACGTGCTGCATCAAGCTTCTAAAACCTTTGTCCTCAACGACTGAAAATGGCTGGTTGTCTAATGCCATGAACTCCATCACTTTCCTCGTGGTAGCTTTGCTCTTTTCGTTGCTCATAAAAGCTAACAGCGACCCACCGACTGCCTCTTTGTTAGCGCTAGCTTTAGCATTAGCCTTAGCTTGGTTGCTCTCTTCAAACATTGCATACTTGGCGGCGTGGTGATTTCTTAAATGGCGAACGAGGTTTGTTGTATTAAAGGTTTTGGTGGTGGCTCCACCACGACTTACTTCGGCTTTACACGAATTGCAAATTGCGATCTTTGGCTCATTTTCTTTTACAGCGTAGAACTTCCAAACCGACGACATGGCTGCTCCGAGTGACCTGTGTGTGAGCTCTCACAGTGGAGCAAAAGGGGACAGCAGCTGATTTTCAGACCTTTCCGGAGGCAGATAAGATCGGTGGATAAAATCGGCTTCTCATTTAAAGATCGGCCGATCGCCGATCTCCCCAAATTAAGGAAATCGGGGCCGATCGATCGGCCGGCCGATTTATCGGTGCACCCCTAGATTCAACCTTTTTTGTTGTTTACATACTTGTTGTTTTTATGGATTTTTTAAATTTAAATACCCTGTGAGGCACATGAAAAGAGTCATTTTTAAAACCACGTCCTCTTTTTGTTACCCAAAAAAGCAGACAGTGGAAAAGTTTGTCTGTTTCACTCTTGGACATTAATAAAGATGGACGAAGCATCTATGTATTCTTTTGTTGTTCAGAATTTAAGCTGAAATGTCAGCTTTTGGGGGCACAACCGTGCTGCATTTTTGAAGCCTGTGCACCAGGGACCAAAGATTGTACCCTCGATACGAAAACCATCTACACACCCTCCCAACTCACTGACAGGCTGCTGTGTTAGATGATACTCTTAAGATACTCTGTCTCCAAAAACTAATAGAAAATAGATGTATTTTTAAAAAGTGCATGTAAGGATATACAGGAGCAAAAGCACTAGGGGTCACCAGTCCTTTGTGACTTCAACTTCCAGCGTCTCAGTTTTAGTTTACATTTATCTTGACCATTCCACCAAAAATGTATAGCTGTGTATGGAAAAAAACAAAACTTGATGATATTTTATAAAGTAAACGGATTGAATTAAGCTACTTCTTTACTGAAAAGGAAAATTTTTATTATTGTTTTTCTAGTGTTCATATTTTTGTTGTACATACTCTGCCATTCATAATCTTGTGATATAAAAAAAGTGACAAAAATAAAGTGAATTCACAGTGAAAACTAGACAGCTACTTTATCAAGTTACATTTTTTTTATTATGTTGGGTCAGTAAATTTGATAGTCAGCTAAATAAGATGAAAAAGTTTTAGTATCTAATACGTATTGTGCACTTTTTATCTTCCAAACGCACCTTAAACTCTTGAAAATATTCTCTTTCTTTGTTTTTGTGCATTTTTCAGCCGTGCAAGTGCAGCAGTGAACAATCTGAAGCGTTTCCATGAGAAGAAGAAGAAAGGTTTGAAACCTCACAGCCTTTACTTGGACCACATCATTCGCAAGTCTGTGTCGTCACACAACCGCAGAGATTCACACTCGCGTGCCCAGAGAGACATCTACATCATAAAGGTAAACTAATGAGCGCTACAGATGCTACTTTTAGACACTTTTATTTTTCAAGAAATGGGTCAAGGTGTCATTAACTTTGTGATACAATGATGTGTTTAGTTTAGCTTTGCATGAGGCTGTAATTTACTGCAGGTTTAGATCATGTGCTGATTGGCAAATTATGAAGCAGCTTATTTTCTAAAATGTACAAAGCAAAGAATAAAAATCTCTAGGGATACACAATATTATCGGCATGGTGTCTGTATTAGAGATGAAGTTAAATATCGGCATCAGCCATTCCATCAAAATAACTCACCAATATAAGAAGTGCTGATTTTTTTAATATATATTATATATATATTATATATATTTTTAATATATATTATATAGTATTACGTCATTTTCAAACTCCTTTTTGGCATCTGCATTTGGTAGCAGGTGAAATTGACAAAGACCTTGCAGAATAATGAAGTATTTTCATTCCACAGCAGAGAAAGCTATGTAGTCTCTGTAAGTAGGTCAAGGAAAAAACTGGTATTGGTATCGGTTATTGGCCAAATAAGTTTTAACATATCAGCATATCAGATATCGGCCAAAAATCCAATATTGTGCATCCCTAAAAATCTGTTATGGCTGGAGTCTAGTCTATAATGTAGTCAATGAAATACATAACGTTGCTTTCTGATCGTTGTCCTTTTCTGCTGTTGCTGTTTTTAGGACACAGAGGAAACACTGATGATAAATCTGAGAGACAGTCAAATTCTCAACCACAAGCAGAACCTGGAGTGGAACTGGTTACTTATTGCCACCATCCTTAAGGTCAGGCTGTTCTCATGCAGCAACACAAACTCTGATTTTTGTTTGTTCTTCCGTCTAAAAGATTGTTGTTGTTTTTCCCTCAGTGGCCAAATGTAAACCTCAGGAACAACAAAGACGAGCAGATGCACAGGTGAGACCAGCTTCAGAACATTTTAAAACATGATTTTGTTTTTCCTGATCTTTTTCTTTCAAATTCACATTTGTTTCTGTGTAATGCAGGTTTGTTCGGAGACTGCTGTACTTCTATAAGCCCAGTAGTAAACTGTATGCAGGACTGGCTTTGGATCATGCTAAGGCCAGACAACTCACTGTGGTTGGGTGTCAGTTCGTGGAGTTCCTCATGGACTCAGATGAGGTATGAAAAGTTTGCATAAACAAACATTGTCTTTATGCATGCTCAGTCATCCAGGTAGATGAATCTAACAAGGTTAAGTCAGGTCCTCTGGACTGATTCTTCTTGTTGAAACATTTTGTCTTTTACCCAAAACTTCTTCAGTCTGAGGAGCAAGTGGCCATCAGGGCGCTAGTGATCGGTCATTAGACTGATGGTCCTCCTTTTGCATTTGAGCAACTTTTGTCTGTCACCAATATGAGAAGGTGCTGTTTATAAGACTGAGTTGTTGCAGCTCCTCAAACTGAAGTCTTTCTGGATGAAAGACGAAACGTTTCAACAAAGAAGAACCGTCCACAGGACCTGACTCAACCTTTTTAGATAAACGCACGTTGTTCTTGTGTCTGAGTCCAGGTCTGACCCTGTTTTCATGTCCACTTGTTTCTTGTTGTCACCAGGATGGTCAGGGCTATCTGGAGGACCTTGTGAGGGACATGGTGTTGTGGCTGTCCTCGTGTTCAGGCCTGAAGCCCGAGCGCAGCCTGCAGAGCAACGGTCTGCTCACCACACTCAGCCAGCACTACTTCCTCTTCCTGGGGACACTTTCTGCACACCCACAGGGAGTCAAACTGCTAGAGAAATGTGGCCTGTTTCAGTGGTGAGTTCACTGCTTTCCTGAGCCAACGCTGTCTCAGAATGTCGGATGCTTTTTTCCCAGTTAGTGAAACATGTTAATGCAACATCTGCCTTTGATCTGGTGTTTGCAGCCTGCTGAACTTGTGTTCTGTAAAGAACCAGGACGCTGTGCTGAAACTTGCTGTATCCACTCTGGACTACAGCAGAGACGGTCTGGCTAGAGTGATCCTGTCGAAGGTCCTCACTGCTGCCACGGACGTAAGAGCAGAAAACCTCAACACACGTGTAAAATACATAAAGAGTAGTAGAGGAGCAGTTTTTTGTGAACTGTTTGGGAAAAATGCTACATATCACATTGCAGCACCAGTAAATGTAAAATCATAGGACTGCAAAATTCCCTCAATGGTCTTAGAGTGACCAAATCACTGAATGATAAATGACATCTTTCATGTCGATATAAAAATGTCAACAAGCTTCTGCTAAATATTCTAAATAATCTGATGAATCATCACTTCTTGTGTTGCTGAGCAGGTTTGCAGGCTGTACGCTACAAAGCACCTGCGTGTGCTGCTGCGTGCCGGCGTGGAGTTCTTCAGCAGCTGGGGGATGGAGCTTCTGGTCACACAGCTCCACGACCACAACAAGGCCGTGTCCATGGAGGCACTGGACATACTGGACGAGGCCTGTGAAGACAAGGTAGCTGAAGACACATGCATACCTAAGATTACTGACTGTCCAACAGAAACTCTTTGGATTTATTAGTAAATGTACATATGGTATTTGTATACCGTATACAGTTGGCTCCCTACCATTATCCAAGAAGGGCGTCCTGCCCTGTCAACAGAACTGAGCACCCTGCCTACATGTAGGCAGCTGACATGCTACGGTTCCACCACTCCCAGACAGGGAGTGGAGATTTTAGCAACAGGAGAAGTGGTTTCATTAGTATTGTAACGCTCCGCTATGCTCTGCTGTTTCTCAGGCCAACCTTCATGCTCTGATCCAGCTGAAACCAGCTGTGTCTCACCTGGGAGATAAAGGCCTCCTGCTGCTCCTAAGGTGTGCGCTTTCTTACCAGACAAAAGCTTATAGTGAGAAATGTGTAGGCCATTGAATCTACCTACATGCATGAAACTCCTTCCTTTTTTTTGTTGTTCAGGTTCCTGTCCATTCCTAAAGGCTTCTCCTACCTCAATGAGAGGGGTTATGTCAGTAAACAGCTGGATAAATGGCACAAGGTATTTTCAATCTGACAGCAGATGGCAAAACATTAATCTTACCTGATGTCAAGACACTAAGCCACGGCCAAACCAAAGACTAACAGAAGTGTGTGTTTGATTCTTTAACTCCTCTGGATTGCAGGAGTACAACCTTAAATATGTGGATCTGATAGAGGAGCAGCTCAACGAAGCACTAACGACGTACCGCAAACCCATCGATGGAGACAACTACGTCAGACGCAGCAACCAAAGGTGAGGCAAGAATGAGTTACTGCAGTTCCAGGTGTCTGCAGGAGTGAAATTATCTTTTACATTTTTTTTTCTGTTTGTGTTTGGGGGTTGTGTCTTCAGGTTACAAAGACCAAATGTCTACCTGCCTGTGCACTTGTATGGTCAGCTGGTCCATGATAAGACAGGCTGTCACCTGCTGGAGGCTCAGGTAAGGGTTTGTTTTATTACAATTCCTCGGATGTTCCACATCTCTTTATTCTCACTCATAAGTTTCTAATGTTTGTTTTTTTATTTATCTGAAGAATTTGGTTCCAGACCTCAGCTACATGGTCCGCTTCCCGATGCTGGACACCTGGGAGGGTATTAAACAGTTGAAGGCTGCTCTCTGGGCTCTGGTCTGCAATACTGTTCATTTAAAACCCCTCAGATCATCCTCATTCTTACCAATGCTTAGTCAGTCGCTGATTGTGTGTTGTCTTCTGCTGCCTTGTTTCAGGGCAACATCGGCTCCTCTAACTGGGGACTGAATCTCCTGCAGGAGGAGAATGTCATTCCAGATATCCTCACAATGGCTCAGCACTGTGAGGTGCTGTCAGTGCGTGGGTAAGCTGCAGCGGTCGCTTTCATTCAGCCACAGTTTGTGTCCGCAGACGAAGGGTTAGCAGAGGTGATGGTAATACGATTCAATTTCTTGTCCACAGGACGTGCGTTTATGTCCTTGGTGTGATTTCCAAGACCAAACAGGGTTGCGAGGTGCTCAAGCAGTACAGTTGGGATGCAGTCAGACACAGTCGCCGGACGCTGTGGCCCGTCACTCCCGACGAAGTCGACACGCAGCCGACCTCTGAGCTCTCTTCGGTACCGAGCACGCTCAGTCTGAACTCAGAATCCACCAGCTCACGCCACAACAGTGAAAGCGAGTCTCAACCAAGTACGTATTGTGTTGCTGACTTTTTCACCGTTCCAGACGGAGTTATTACAGTAGTCCCTCGTTTATCGCGGGGGGATCCATTCCCAACCCCCCTGCGATATGTGAAAAACCATGAAGTAGGAATAGTAATATAAGTAGTAAGTAGTAGTTTATTTTAGTGTATATATATGTATATGTATATATATATATATATATATATATATATGTATATGTTTATATATATATATGTATATGTATATATGTATATGTATATATGTATATGTATATGTATATATGTATATGTGTATGTATGTATATATATGTATATATATGTATATATATGTATATATATGTATATATATGTATGTGTATATATATATATGTATATATATATATATATATATATATATATATAT